GTTGGAGGAGACCTCTAAGATCACCAAGTCCAACCATTAATCTGCCACTCTGGTGTACATTAAACTCCACCACAGAATGTCTGCACTGTGGTCATACAGCACTTCTCCCTCAGCCAAGGCTGATCCATCTACACAAACACTTCATTCATGCCTCCTGAAGTATCTTCTTTCTCTCTGATGTCTCTTGTCAATTCATTCTTCCTTCCCAGGGAAGGATAGTTTAGGGAGTTTTTAGCTGCAAGCTTAAACTACAGAAGTCTTAGTAATATTTAAACAGTCCAATATCATCACTACCCCCTCCTTCCCATGTGTGGGCTCTGCACAACTCCCAGTCCACACAACACCCAGGCAGGGAACAAAACAAAACCCAACACAAGCCATAGCTTTTAGACTTGGCCAGTTACAAACTGGAGATGCAAACTGCTGAGGGTGTCAGCTGTGCTGGAGGCCAGGTGCCACTTCTCCCAGGGTGGGACCTTGCCATTAAGTCAGGAACTGTTCTCGCCTCTCTTTGAGCCAAGAAAATCTCACTTTTCATAGAATAATGAATAGAATAGCTCCCAAAGGAAGGGAATGACAGATTCCCCCAGGCAACCTCTCTTCCTACGTAATTTACCTGCAAGACAGGGATTGAAATTAGACTGCAGCTCCTACACTAAACCAGGGAATGGAGAATGAGGAACGACAGAGCACACTGTGGCTGTCACTCCCAGCCTGTCTGACAGGAGAAGCATCTTCATTACCAAGCTGCAGGCTGAGGAACAAGTGTCTCAGCTCTGTAAATAAGTAGTTCTGGGTACACTTATGGGAAGAAAAAGATTGTTTCAGTTCCTAAGAGTTCAAATGCCCCAGCAAGGGACAATAACTACATGGATGTTGACAAAATTCATACTTTGGGGTTATATGCTGACAGAAATTACGGTGGACTTGATGGCTCCGGTCCTGGGAAGCAATTTGTGCTGGTTCATTAGTGCTTTGCTGACAAGACCTACATTAACACAAGCGTCTTTCAATGCCTTTCTTTCCTTCACTGATTCTGGAGAGCTGCAATTCAGGTTTCTCTACCTTGGTAAATTCCTTCACATATGAAAATGGATTTTGGAAAATATTGGGCACTGATTTATTCTGCATTTGGCAACTTGGTTTGTCCCTCCCACAACACACAAGTGATTTACCTCCAAGATCATTGAGTCCAACCCTACCGTGGTTACTAGACCGTGGCACTAAGTGCCACATCCAGTCTCATCTTGAAAACCTCCAGGGATGGGGAATCCACCACCTCCCTGGGCAGCACATTACAATGCCTGAGCACTCTCTCTGTAAAAAATCTCTTTCTAATATCCAACCTAACCCTCCCCGGGCAGAGCTTGAGTCTGTGCCCTCTTGTCCTGCTGCTGGTTGCCTGGGAGAAGAGACCAACCCCCCCCTGCCTCCAACCTCCTGTCAGGGAGTTGCAGAGGGTGAGAAGGTCTCCCCTGAGCCTCCTCTTCTCCAGGCTGAACCCCCCCAGCTCCCTCAGCCTCTCCTCATGGCACTTGTGCTCCAGTCCCTTCACCAGCCTCGTTGCTCTTCTCTGGACCTGCTCCAGCCCCTCAATGTCCCTCCTGAGCTGAGGGGCCCAGAACTGAGCACAGGATTCAAGGTGTGGCCTCATCAGTGCCGAGTCCAGGGGCAGAATCACCTCCCTGGTCCTCCTGACCACGATTTGAGGTTTTAAAACAAAACTCATCCATTCAAAATAAAGCTTTTGGCAAGGGATTGAAATGCCCTCCACCCCTTTTTCTTTAATGCAACTCTTTAAATTTCAGGTTTTCACTGAAAACTAGAAGCTTTTTTGGAAAGTTACTAGAAAGAACTAAACAGGAAACTAGCTGAGGAAACCCTTATGAAAATGCTGCTAAACTAACCACACCGCAAATAACAAGTAACAAAACAAGCCTTTTTGCCTTTCTCTTCCTCTCATACATTCAGAAATCATTTCTTTCCTTTCTTTACTGCCCCTGAGCCATATGAGTACTTCAACCTTCCTCATGTTGCCACTGCTGACTGTCCCCAGAGGAAGAAGCAGCCTACTCACTCTGCCCTGCTCCACCACTCGATCTGCTGCTATTTTCATCTGCACACCAAAGTAAATGTCAGGATCCCAAAAGCAACAACCAGACACCTTCCCAGAGTTTCGTGAGCTGGCAAAGAAAAAGTTAACAGCCAGGGAGAGTGGATACATCACTGCTTGAATGACTGAAGCAGGCAGAAAGCCTTGGCAGAAATCAGAGCTCCATTCAGGTCTGTTAGACTGTACTGCTGGACAGAAAGGAAAAAAGGAACTATTCATCTATCTGGGGCAGCCTCCTGCTGCTGCTTGGGGAGCAGGAGCAGCTCCCATGTGCCCTGGTGCACAGCACTGCAGTGCTCCCTGGCTGTTAACTTTTCTTTACCAGCTCACAAAACTCTGGGGATGTGTCTGGTTGTTGCTCTTGGGATCCTGACATTTGCTTTGGTGTGCAGATGAAAATAGCAGCAGATCGAGTGGTGGAGCAGGGCAGAGTGAGTAGGCTGCTTCTTCCTCTGGGGACAGTCAGCAGTGGCAACATGAGGAAGGTTGAAGTACTCATATGGCTCAGGGGCAGTAAAGAAAGGAAAGAAATGATTTCTGAATGTATGAGAGGAAGAGAAAGGCAAAAAGGCTTGTTTTGTTACTTGTTATTTGCGGTGTGGTTAGTTTAGCAGCATTTTCATAAGGGTTTCCTCAGCTAGTTTCCTGTTTAGTTCTTTCTAGTAACTTTCCAAAAAAGCTTCTAGTTTTCAGTGAAAACCTGAAATTTAAAGAGTTGCATTAAAGATCCTCTGGGCACAGAGACACTGCAGAATGGCAGGAGGAGAGCAGAGAGCCATGCAAAAGTGACTAAGCAGCAGAGCTTGGCCAGGGATGAGCTGCCAGATCATTGCAGAGGTCAGGTTAAAAGAATCTGCATCTATACAAGGAATTAGTATAAATTATTTCTAGTTACTGTGGGTATTATTTATAATTACTACACATAATTAATAGACATACCTCATGGCTCTTTCCAACTCCCTGCCAGGGTTGGAGAGAGGTGGGGGATGTGTGGCCTGCCATGGCTGCAGGGAGAGGAGTAGAGGGAATGGCCTTGAGCTGAGCCAGGGCAGAGTCAGATTGGATGTGAGGAGAAATGTTTTCCCTGTGATGAGGGTGTTGAGGCCCTGGGATATTGCCCAGGGAGGTGGTGGAGTCACCATCCCTGGAGGTGTTGAAGAGATGTCTGGATGTGACACTGGAGGATCTGGTTTAGGGTTTAGGGGTTCCAGCAGTGACAGGTTAATGGTTGGACTTGATGATCTCAGAGGTCTCCTCCAGCCTTGATGGTTCTATGATTGAACATGTGGCTTTTCTAATTCGAGGAGCTCATTTTATATGAACAAATTTATATATAAAATGTATACATACATTTCTGTGTGTTTTAGTGTATATACAGTAAAAATATAAAATTATAATTGTCATAGAATCATAGAACCATCAAGGTTGGAGGAGACCTCTAAGACCATCAAGTCCAACCATTAACCTGTCACTGCTGGAACCCCTAAACCCTAAACCAGATCCTCCAGCACCAGATCCAAACACCTCGTCAACACCTCCAGGGATGGTGACTCCACCACCTCCCTGGGCAATATCCCAGGGCCTCAACACCCTCATCACAGGGAAAACATTTCTCCTCACATCCAATCTGACTCTGCCCTGGCTCAGCTCAAGGCCATTCCCTCCAGTAACCTCTATGACCATCCCCAATCCTCCAGAAACATTCCAGGATGACCCTGTATTTGTGCAATACAGATCATTTCCAAGGAAAAGCTTCCATGCTCCACGCCTGATTTCACTAGGGGAAATGGTTTTGTAACTTGGTTCAGTGCCCAAGTGCTTGGTAGCATTTAACCTTCATGGCTCTTCTGTTCTGATTTGCTAGGGATGTCCCTGAGCCTTCTGGCCATGTCCCCTCAGCACAGCTCCTGCAGCTCTGCTTTGCTGCAAATGCTTCACTGTGTGCCCTATTTTCCTAACATAATTGGCTGCTCTGCCTAGAATCTCTCCCTAAAGTCAAAATAACCTTGATTATAAACATGTCCACACAAGCCAAACACTCCCTCCCAGCACAAAACTGTTTCTCACAGGACACAGTGCAGTGAGTTATTTTTACTCACCCACCATCAAAACACATTAGCTTTGTGCTCCTTCCACATCTTATCTTACCAATGATTTCAAATGTCTAAATTTGCATGATCCACATTTCATTAGCATCTTAATTATTTTTCCGACTAAATAATCTGGCAAAATTCGGAGCGGTTGATGACCCAAACAAGACCTGAGTCAGTAACTGCTCCCAATCTGCCACTCAGGAATTAAAAATGAATGAGTAAATAAAATGTA